AATAACAAAATAGCCAGGCATTGTGGCAGGCACCTGTAGTCCCAGCTACTCGGGAGGCTGAGGCAAGAGAATGGCTTAAACCCAAGAGTTTGAGATTGCTGTGAGCTATGATGCCATGGCACTCTACCAAGGGTGACATCATGAGACTGTTTTCAAAATAAATAAATAAATAATAAAACAAAATAGTACGTCCCCTGCGGAGGTCATACTGTAATGGACTATTTAACAACATGGAAAAATGTTCAAGTGAGAGGGGAAAAACTTAAAATCAAAGTAAGAGCACTGTAATACTAATTTTATTAAAGAGAAAGAAATGTGAAGCAAGATACTATTAATGAAAGGATCGCAGCCAGCTTTTAGGATAAAAGTAAATTTGCATTTTCATGTACATGACTTTCTGCTGTCCAAATTTTCTTCACTGAAGATGTAATAATCTCAAAGATAGAAGCATAATAAATGTTTTTTAATATCAATTAAAATAAAAACAGGGGAGGAAGGGGCATAGAGAGGTGCCCACTGGAGCACTCTGCCCCCATCACCAAGGTGAAAGCTTTAAGCAACAGGTAGGAGAGGAAATGGAGTTAGGAATTCTTCCAGTTTTATGCTTTCCTTTACTCCTTCTACACCCTTCCTTGTTGTCCTTAAACATAGGAAGAGGATAATTAAAGAAGTCTAGTCCTAGGGTGAAACCCCAACCTGTACAATAGTTTTCTTTCCTCTTACCCCAAAGTCCTCACTGTCTACACAGAAACCGCGAGATATTCAGAGATTGCATTTCTCCAAATGTGGATCTCCATGGAAGCACAGTAGTGGGTAAGGGGTAAAACTTGCAGGGATTGGATTTCCAGGCCAATCTGATACAAAGCTTATTCTCTCCCCCTGCCCCCAACCCTGCTTTTCTCCCTTACACTTGTGAGTCATTTGCTGCTTTTGAAAGCAAATTAAAATTCGCAATGCCCTTACAATTTTTTAAACCCCAAGTGAGTTTAATCACATGTGCCCCAGACGTGCGACCTCACAGAGAGTCGCGACACCTTCCAAAAGGAGAGGTGAACAGGGTGACCTTTCTGGGTTTCAGGTGGAGTCGTGGCGCTGGCCATCGCCAGCTTCATGGCCGCTGTGCGGTTTCACGACCTGACCGAACGCATCGCCAACTTTCAGGAGAAGCTCTTTCAGTTCGTCGTGGTGGAAGAACAGTACGAAGAGTCGTTTTGGATCTGCGTGGCCAGCGCTTCAGCCCACGCGGCAAACCTGGTTGTGGTGGCGATCAGTCAAATTCCCCTCCCTGAGATCAAGACCAAGATCGAAGAGGCCACGGTCACGGCTGAGGACATCTTGTATTAGGGGCCCTCTCCTTCACACGCCTTCCTAAATCAGTTCTGTAGTGTAAATGGGGGCCTCTTTTTATTTATTTATTAACTTATTTTGTTTGCAGTCTTCCCACCCCATCAGGGCCCTGTCTTTGACAGTAAGAAGAGTGTGGAATGACCAGGGCTGGTGCCTGGGCCATAAAAGGAACTCTTCCCCCAATCTCATGCATTCTTGCACTTCTCTCTCATGACCTTGAAGTTAGAGTTGACCTTGGAGTTGAGATCTGCATTTTGCCAGCTGCGTAAGACATTGCACAGTTCACTTAATGTGAACTTCTCAGCTTCCTAATCTATACAGCGGGCATAGTAATGACCTTACAAGGTGTTTGTGAAGCTTAAACAGACAATGACATCGCCAGCCTTTGTATACCGTACAGCACTCAACAAGTGCAAGGTACAATATATTCAATAAAGGTCTATAGACCCCTGGTCTATTGCACATGATGTTGCTGCAGGGGGTATGGGGGGGTGCTAAGAAGAAAATGAAAACTTCCCTGCCATTCAGAAGTCCCTAATCTTTCCACATGACACAAGAATCAGACAGCAACAATCACAACAAGAATAAGTATCTTTTTTTAAGCGGTTACTATCTACTAGACACCATTCTAGGAGTTTTGCATACATTAACTCATTAGATCCTCCCTACAAACTCAGGCATTAGGCACAATTTCACCTGCATTTTTACAGATGAAGAAACTCATGGGTAGAGCAGTTGGGGAACTTGCTTAGATCAGGAATTAAATCTACCAAGTCTGGAACCACAGTCTCTGCTTTTAACCACTTTGCTGATCTGTTGTTTGATGTATAAGCAATTGCAGCGCTGGGAGATAAATGTTCTAATAGTATAGGCATAAAAGACCGAGGAAGGAATTAAATATTCAGATTGGAACGTGGCATTAAGGAAAGGATCACAGAGTTAACATTTGATCTGAGCCTTGAAAGATGAGTAGGCTTTTTCCAGTAGCAAAGGAAGCAAGGCTGGAGAAAGGCATTCTGGATGAGGCGGTAAGGAAGGTGGGCACAGGGCGCGACGTTACCAGGCGGGCTCAGAAGCCTGTGATTACTCAGTGAGACGGAATGAAGCACTCGCCGACCTGCTGGAGAAACCCAGCTGCTCTGTGTGGATTTTTCTTAAGCACTACGACTCTCCTTATTTCTGAAAACAATTATTCAAGATAAGTATTGTTGTCTTCAATTGACAAGATGGGCAATTTTAGGTTCAGAAGATGTAATTATCTTGCATGGCCACCCGGCTAGTGAATAATAGAGAAAAGACTCAATACCAATCTCCAAGATGTTAAGACCACCATTTTCCACCACACCGTGACAGCCTTTTCTTAACTGAGTCCTGATTCTCCTTCCCAGGGTTTCTGCAAGTGGCTGTGCAGGCTGGACCCTGCCCAAAAGAGGTACAAGTATAAAGAACAAGTAGCTTTGTATTTCACATACATTATCTGATTCCATTCTCATAAATATCCTGAGAAATACTTGCTTTAGTACTAGTTTTTGAATTCATGAATAAAAGTTCTCTAAAAAAGAATTTGGAGGAAAGAGATTTTATTCCACTGAACAAAGTGGAATGGGGAGAAGCAGCCCTCCGTGTAAAATAAAGGTATTTTCTAGAGAACAAAGAGAAGTTTTGGGTTTTATAGCAGAGTTTCTGCCGCGGTTCTCAAATCAGGTCCATTTATGCAAATAAAGGATTCAAACTTGCTTAGTTCCCATTGGTTGATGCAGCTGAGTTCTGGTTGGTTAATACAACATAGCCTGATTGGCCAAGGAAAGTGAGCTCTGATTGGTTGGTTCAGGTAGTCTTTAAAAATCCCAAAGTTAAAAAGGGGGAGGTTTTCAGGGAACTCAAGAATACCTATGTGACTTCTGATTAGCAAGGAATGTCTTGGTTCTATTTTAAATTTAGGCCCAGTTAGCCACTTGGGATTCATCCTGAAGGATTATCTTTTTCAGATTCATACATATTCACAAATTAAAGAATTAGAAACACAGTTTTCTCATTTGTATAATAAGCAAGTTGCTTAAGACAGTCTCTAATTTACTTTCCCTCTCTAAAATTTTATCACTTTTTAATGTTATATAATATCTCCAAATTTACAGTAGCTAGAGCACCTATCTGCTGGGCACTAAGTTAGGCATTTTCATGCGTTGGTAATATGTGATTTGCCGATGTGATTGGAGAAGCTACCTCCATTCACTAATAATTCAACATGATGAAGATTCCAACCATCAATTCAGCTATATGTTGAACGTACTGCATGTGGATTTCTGTGATAGTCACAGTTGAGTTCTTGCTTAAATAAAACAAATATAAAAACAGGACATACAATTATTTGTTGTATTGCTTTTTGTTCAGGGAAAAATAATAAGCAGTAATCATAACTGAGTTGGAACAACAGCAACTTCTCTTTTGCCCTTGACCTTTGGGAGAGACTGAATTTGATGTAGTACGTTTTTTTTATTCTTCTTTCATAACAATTCTCTCAACATTAAAGATTTGAAGGGAGTAAGATCCAGGAGAGAGTGAATAGAACAAAAAGTATTCATGCTATTGTAAAGGAGGTATTTATATGAGGCCAACAGAAATTCCCAGTGCTGTTCAAAAGAGCCGTGACCTCTCCCCAATGAAAACCTATTATGTCCCTGGCTCACTAGCTCTAGTGGCCTGCAAGAGGCAATTTCTTATATACCTGCTGTTTATTAACTGTGTTGTTAAGGGTGGTTTCTCTCTCCAAAACAACCTACTCGACGTTTTACTTTGTATTGAAAAGTAATGTCCGTGTTCTAAATGGTTAGCTGAGCCATTTAAAGAGCCCACCTTTAAGAGTTCCCCGTAGCATGTTCTTCCTCATCATGAAAAGAAAAAAACCTGGAAAATTCATTAATCATGGGTATTTTTCATTTTGTTCTGTAGGCGTGACTTTTGTCTA